GAAATTAATAAACTTAGGGGTCTAAAAATATTAAAAAATATAATGGTATTTCCTAAATAATTAAAACAAAATATTTTGGGAATATAGATTGAATATTTGGGAATTAATTGAAATAATTCAAACAAATATTTTGGGAACATAGATTGAAATATTATGGGAATATAGATTGAAATATTAACCAACGCACCCTAAGCTGTTTGGCTGCTTTTGGAGAAAAGAAAAACCCAAATAGGTAACTAGCTACAGCTTCAAAATAAAAGATAAGTAAGTTTAAATTCCAGTCTGAGGCCGAGTAGCATATATATATAATCTTAAAACAAAATAAATAATAAATAAAAACAGTATAAGTATCCATGAAAACAATATCATGTTTATAAGTAGGAGAATCAAAATTATATTACATTGATGGAGTTTTACTAAATTTTACAGTAGTACTCATTTTTTTCCTTTAATTAATCACACTATTAAATCAAATATCCATCGTTAAGCACTGCACTTACATAAGTTCATGAATGTGGTTCATTATTGATTGCGGCATCTCTTTCCTTTATGAATAAACTCTTTATTATGTTTCCATAAAGTTGACAAAGCGAAAATAAAAATATTTGAAACGTATGATAAATTCGCTTCTCTGAAATTTTCAATTTCATTATTTTATAAAAACAACTATTAATGTTGTACTTATAGGCTTTTTATAATTATTAAAAGAGATTCAAATAGTTTTAAGGAAGATAGAATTTTTTTTGATAAAAATCAATGTTTACTGGATGATTTATTAGGTTATAATATCATAATACATGTATCCAATTAATTATTATACATGTATTGCTACTTTATCATCAATCAACTTCATGTATTAAATTGATTCAATTTGTTAAGATATACTGTGTATTACAATCCATTGTTCTCGAGTTTTGGAAATTAGAATAATATGATAGATTTAAAATTTAACAAATGTGTTAGAATGCTTACTAAATGAAAGAAAAGAGAATACAACAAAATAAAATAAAAAATGTATTTTTTTTATTTATTTAGTAAAGAATTGATTTATCTCCCAAGGAAAATAATTAGCCTATAGAGGATGGTGAGTTTAAATGAAAAAAAAGCTGATATGATAATACTCTTGTAATCCGTAGAGATACTATCATTAATGTAAAAGGTAAAGCTATTTATTATATTTCTAGTTTTGAGATCTTCTACTAGATTTTTACATTTAAGTAATTCTAAGTGTTTCAATTTTGAACGAAAAAATTATATATATAATTATATATATATATATCCTTTAGTTAATTAATATTTAAAATAATTTATCTATAAAATAAAAATTCCACAAGTGGGCTTCTACTCCAGTCTGTAACTCCTAATTTAACCGAACAGCTATTTCTTAACAAGTTATATTATTATCACAAGGTCAATTTTAGAGTCGGACTAATCGCGTCGTATGTCCACTGCTCACTGACCCTGTCTCAAAGATGATGCAATTAGTTAGTGTTTGGTTTAGGGAATATTTTATTATAAAGAGATTATATTAATAAAGATAATTATTTTAAGGACATTTTATTGGGGGTTATATAAATTATTGAAGTTATGTTATCTTACATTACTTGGGCTTCGTTTGGTTCAAGATTGGGAATACTACTCTTAGTATTCTCAAAAAAGTTAACAGTAAAATACCCAAAAACTCTTATTTTTGGGAATACTATTTTCAATATTATTCAATTTTTTTAAACCCCTAAATTTGTTAATTTAATTAAATACCCCTAAATTTTTTTTTTTTTAAATTACAAAAACACCCCAACAATCCACATTTACCAGATTCCGGCCACCACCGCCGGCAAATGATCGGAATCGGTAGGATGGCGCACTACCGGCTGAATCTGGCCGGTAGTGCGCCGATCTAGCCTTTTCCGGCCAGATCCACCGGAAAAGGCCAGATCTAAGGACAAAGATCTGGCCGTTGACGGCCAGATCTTTGGCCGTAACAGTCGGTTACGACGGCCAACAAACGGTCGTCGTTGACCATCAACGACGACCGTTTGTTGGCCGTCGTTGAGAGCAAATACGGCCAGATCTGGCGGTTGACGGCCAGATCCACCGTAGATCTGGCCGGAAAGGCCATATCGGCGCATGACCGGCAAGATCCTGCCAGTCATGCGCCCATAAGGCGACTCCGGCCACCTCCGGTGGTGGTGGCCGACTGGGGGTGTTTGAGGGTGGTTAGGGGTATTTTTGTAACTTTTAATGTTTTTTATAGGGGGTATTTTGTAAAAAAACAAACATATGGGGTATTTTTTACTTTATAAATCCGACCTGTAATACCCGCCCAATTCAACTTTTTTTAACTTTTTTCAAAAAACTTTTCCCAAAACCCCCAAATTTTGAACCAAACGGAGCCTTGATTACTACGTTTGGTTGTCAAGTAATACAAATTTCAATATCAATAGTAGTAACTATTGGTAATATTGGAGGTAATCTAATTACCTCAATATTCTTAGGTATTTTAAGATTACTTGGTTATCTTATTTTTGATACAATTTTATCCCTTATTAATAAATTTTTTGGACAATAATACCCTTGTTTTAAAATCAATTTACATGAATCTGGTTTTAAAATTTTACCCCAATTAATTAACTTTTCGGATAAAATTACCCTTGAATTCAAAACAAATTGCAACCCACCCAAGCCACCACCCCCACCCCCACCCACCTACTGCTATCGGCTAGAGATCTGGCCGTTTTTGGCTGAAAATGGCCATATCGGCACACAACAGCCATGTCCGACCTTCCTGCGCTGTTAGGTTGCCAACTACTAGTGATCGACAGTGTTTGGGTTGGTGGGGGTGCATTGTTGATTTTTCAAACTTTTATTATGGGGTTGTTTTTGCTAAGTTTTTAAATGTAAGGGGGTTATAAATAATCCAAATAATAATATTTAATTAGATGATAATTCAGTAATTTAAATAAGAGACCTACCAATCTATTCCTCCTAACCAAACATATTAATATAACATACCCACCAATTTATTCTAACCAACCAAATACATTTCTCTAAACATTCTTAATAATCTTCAAAGTAATTTTTCTTTCCATTAATATAACATTCTCAGTAATACAACATTTCTTAAACCAAACGCACTTTCAAGATTAATGGAGAATGTTATGTTAATATGCTTGGTTATATTGGTAGGTATAAATAATTAATATGTTTGGTTGTGAGGAATAAAATATTATTGGAGAAGCTTTTACTGAATTGTCATTCATTTTATTATTATTATTATTTTTTAGAGTACTTTTAACCCCTACATTTTAGAATTTAGCTAAAATACCCTAGGCACAACAAAAGTTTAAAATCTAACAAAATAACCCTAACCACCCAAGATGACTTCAAGCTAGCCATGGATCTGGTTGTCGTTTTTGGCTAGATCGATGCACGACTGGCAAGATTCGGTCGGTCGTGCGCTGTTCCGATGACTACTGACGATTGGTAGTTGTCTTGGGTGGTTGAGGGTATTTTGGGTATTATTCATGTAAATAGTGAGGAAAATTTCTATCCAAAAAAATGAATTTATGAGCTTATAGAAATCATTTCGCACACTTGGGCTAATTGTTATTTGGTAGACATATAAGGATATTTGTTTCCAAAATATTTATTAATTAAAGGTAAAATTGGTATGAATGGTGGATTACCCTGGTAATAAAAAAAAAAAATACCCTTTTAGTCGGTAATCTGATTACCCCTCATATTATCTACAATAATCATTATTGATATTGGAAGATTACCGAAATCTTTTATTACTTAACAACCAAATATTTTAATGGCATGATTGAAAGATAGATTATCGGATTTATCTTTTACTACCCCGAATCAAACGCTACCTAGGCTTTTAGTCCATACTCTTCAAAAACGAAAAAATAAATAGGCAGGATATTATCAATCTTCAGGTCATAATCTTGTTCAACATGGGGCCGTTTGGATCAAAGGTATATAAGATAACGGGGGTAATCTTCGTTTATATATTTTGCAAGATTCCGGTGTTTGGTTTGCAAGTAATAAAATATTACAGTAATCTTTTATTGCAAATAGTATTTACAGTTAGTAATGTCTGGGTTAATTTTATTACCTTGCTAGGGAGTGTTATTAAAACATTACCGGGATAATATAATTTTTTTTACCCATTTTGCCCTTAATTAAAAACCATTTCGAACATAATTGCCTCAAATGCCTACCAAATAGCAATTACCCAACCCCTTTACATTTGAGAAATTAGCTAAAACACCTTAGCTACATAAAAGTTTAAAAGTTAACAAAATAACCTCAACCACCCAAGACCATTATTGGCCATCGGCGTCAGTCTTTGTAATGGTGCACGACCGACAGGATGTGGTCGTTCGTGAGCCGATAAGGCCTTTTCCAGACATGGATCACAGATCCATGGCCGGAAACGGCCATATATGGTGTTTCTATGGCCGTTAGTTCTGGCTATTTTTCGACTATGGATTTGTGATTCATGGCCATTTTCGGCTTTGCTGACGCACAACCGGCCATATATGGCCAATCATGCACCATTCTGTTGACTACCGGTGGCGGTGGCTGGCTGCCGACAATAGCTTGAGGTGGGTGAAGGTGATTTTGCTACAAAATAAAGTTGTATATGGTAAGGTGTTTCAGCAAAATTTTAAATATAGGGGGTTAAAAAAATGATTTAAAAAATAATAATAAAAAATATATTAATATTAAAAAAAGGAGGGTAATTTAACAATCTATATAATATACCCACTCATTTATCCTCCGAACCAAATATATTATTCATCAATTTATTCGAGCCAACCAAACACATTTTCTAAACATTTCAAGTAATCTTCAAGGTAATATTTCTTTTCGTTAATATAATATTCCTCTATAATAAAACATTATACGATCCAAACGCCCATATGTTAAAGTCGTTCCAAGTTTTTAAATTTTAATATTTTGCCCCAGTGAACTCACCCAAACAAGAAAAACTTCCAAAACAAAGAACAAAAGCCAAGTGAAAATTCAGGAGTGAACTTTACTCAGCATCAGAAGAATACCGATCAATAAAAAATAACCGAACCAAGAATACAGGATAAAATAACAAATCAAATATACAACAAACATCAGTGTGGATATAGTCGATAAGCTACAGCAGCAACTGTTAACCAAACCAGCCAATTAAATCTGGAAGAAGTAATGTACTCAGACAGGCTATTATCGTTATGCATCTCAAAATAGCACCAGTGGTCCTTTACAAATGAGTCAGGAGCACCATCACTCAGTTCTAATAAGATCCCCTTCTCTTATTCTTCATCATCTCAGCCCAACTAGCGAAGACATTGGAGGCAGCAAATTTACCAGAGAACTTCATTTTTTGAGCCAATTCATCAAGTATATCAGGTTTACCAGCTCTGGATAAGTCAGCTGCAAACTTCTTGTAGTCAAGTTGTGGAGCCTTCATTCCTTTCTCTATCATCTCTTCTAAAAACTTACATGCCTCTGCAGCTCGTCCCTGACTAATTAGCCCTCCAATGAAAACAGTATAGGAATTGTCATCAGGGCAACACCCCTTCCTAAGCATCTCATTCCAAACTGCATGACCCATTTCATAGTTTCTCGTTTGGAAGTAGGATTTCATGATCATGTTGCAAGTGTGAATTGTTGGTTCTGTGCCACTCTGAATCATCTTCTTGTATATCCTCACCGCGTCATCTGGCATTCTTTGACTTGTCATCAATTTGATTAATGCATTGTAGGTGCGCCCATCGGGTGGATAACCCTTTTCTTGCATCTCCTGTAACAAATCATAAACCAGGTCCATCCTCTTCTGATGCCCAAACCCTGTTATCAAACAGGTGTAAACTGCAGCATCTGGCTGACACCCGGATTCGAGCATGGCATCAAAATACTCCACGGCTTCTTTCATTTTCCTTTGCTTGCAAAAATCCCGGATCATAATTGTATAGCTGCAGACATTAGGTAAAGGGCCCTTGGCTTTCATTATCTCAAACAACTTGATTGAATCAGATCTCTTCTTACTCCTCAACAACCCCTCAAGCATAACATTATGCACAACAATGTCAGGCTTAAAACCCTTATCAATCATATCATTCCACACTCTCCCTGCCTCCATCAAGTTCTTCACTCTACACCAACCATTGAGCAACACCGTATAAGTCATCAAATTTGGTGTAAACCTATCTTTCAACTTCTCAAAAAGTAACTGTGCTTCTTTAACAAGCTTTGCCCTTCCAAGACTATCAAGCAAGAAATTAATAGTATCAACATCCGCTTTATATTTATACTTCTTCATCAACTCAAATATTGCAACTGCTTTCTTCCTCTCCTTGGCAGCAGCAAAAGCATTCATAGCAATCTTAAACGTGTCCACCGTCAAACGATTTTTTGTGCCCATTTCTTCAAGCATGGACACCATTGTCTCAAACTGTCTGGTCTTCCCTAATATATTCATCATTGCATTGTAAGTCCTAGAATCATGGGCAAATCCTGGCTTCTCTCCTGCCCAACAGAAGAACCGAAAAGCCGGTTTTCTGGCATGACGAAATCGTTCTAATACTTCTATGACTAAATCATGAGATATATTGATCCCACATTCGTCAAGAACCGCCTCCATGTTTCGATCCAAAGCAAACAATTGATCAATCACCTTGCATACCCTATCTACTTCCTTAGGATCCACACTGCACTTAACACTAACACTTTCATTATCACTTTCAACATTAACATCAGATTCCACGTCATCATCAAAATCTGAACTATCATATGTAACACTAGAAAAACCCTTATAATTCAAATCCAAAACTTTCGCTGGCAAATTCTGATTGTTCAATGAAGAAATTGAAACACTCATAGATTTAATTAGCAATGTTTCTTGTACAGTACGGAGTGAAGGGGGGTGTGGCAAAACAAACGAAACTTGACAATGAGAACGACGGCGACCACAATAAGAAGAAGAATGAAACAAACGAGACAAGGACAGAGAGCTACCATGAGACAGCCACGCTTTCCCTCTTCTAGGTCGTATTGCTCGTCGTCTTTGTCTCTGATCGTGAGAGAGTAACTCGGTGTTCGAGAAGAGATGGCCATAAGAGTTCGAAGGAGTTGAATAATGTGTTTGAAAATCAATGCAACGTCCAAGTAAAATCGAAATTCTGCTGGATTTCCTTAAAAAGAAATTCATTGATAAGGAGTCGCCATCAACTAGAAATTGGAAGGAGAGCGATCAAAATCGATCGGTTCGTTTGTGGGATTAGTTGGATACGACTACTGAACTGAATATGATGGAGTAAGGAACCAAAGCCGGTGTGAGAGTTAGCTGTGACCAACGGTAGCCGTGGGTAGTTTGATTGGGCCTAACTGGCCCATGATGGGTTTTGGATTTTGAAGGTCTTAATTAGCCCAGTGAAGCAGTGCACAACGCAAGTTTAAAAATATGTATATTATATAATAGATACAGCTCATCACCACTTCCACCCCAAATTCCCGCCAAAGAGAAGGGACCGTAACAATTCCCGGGATTTTCATCCTACAATTCCCGCCACCATTGAAGTTGAAGGTAAGCCGCCTCCCTTCCTTATTCTTTACACTTGAAAGAAAAAGAAAACAGGTTCTGCATCCATTCGTTACTGTGTTCAGTTTCTGTTATCAAGAACAAAAATGTCTTCATCGAAGCGCCAGAGTAATGGCAGATCACCACTGGTCAATCCTCAGCGCCAAATAACTTCCTTCTTCTTCAAGACTACCTCCGCTTCCCCCTCTCCTTCTCCTTCTCCTTCTCCTTCTCCCACTTTTTCCAAATTAAACCCTAATAAATTGAAACCGAACCCTAACCCTAGCTCTCAACGCAGTCCCAGTCCCAGTCCGAGCCCGAGCCCGAGCCCGACTACCCCATCCCCCCTCCAATCTAAGCGTAGTAAACCTCGCCTTGTCATCGGGGAAAACCCACCTCCTCCTCCTTTAATCCCTGCCACCACCAAATCCTACGGAGAAGAAGTTTTGGAAAAGAGGATCAGGGTTTACTGGCCCTTGGATAAGACATGGTACGAGGGTTGTGTAAAATCTTTTGATAAGGAATGTAATAAGCATTTGATTCAGTATGAAGATGGCGAAGAGGAACTGTTGGATTTGGGAAAGGAAAAGATTCAGTGGATCCAGGGGAGTGTAACTGGTTTTAAACGACTGCGTCGTGGTTCTTCTCTGGCATTCAAGAATGTGGTGATTGAAGACGATGAGGAAATGGAGGGTGTAGAGGAGGATAATAGTGATGGTAAGAGTGACTCAAGTGATGATGATTGGGACAAGAAAGCAGAGACGGAGCAGTTGAGTGAGGATGAGGAAGTGGATTTGGTAGATGAACAAGAGGAGAAAATGTCTAGAGGGAAGAAGCGGAAAGCGGATGGAGGAGGGAAGAAGAGTAAGAGTGGTGGGGATTTAGTTAAAGGAGGGTTTAAGGTTTCTGTTGTGGAGCCTATGAAGAATCTTCAGAGTAAGTAATAGATTCTTGTCTATTTTTTTTTTTTTTTTTTTTTGTGTATTAGTTTTCTGGTTTGCCATGTGTAATATTTGTTTGTATCTGATTTTGTTGTCTCGTGTACACGGGATCAGTATGTGTTTTCTTTTTAAATAATTATAGTGTCAATGTGAACATCAGATGCGATATTAGCTTCTTTATGCAAATAAAAAAACATTGCTCCTATGGTTCTCCTTACCAAAATGATAATAAGTGGATAGAATTATTGGAGGATTTATTGCACTTAATTTGTTTCCCATGATGACTTCTTTTTTGTTTATTCAAGCTTTAATTACATCATCGCCACGTTTATTGCTTCTGCTATCTTAATTAAGACTTTCTTTGAATAATGGCCTCTTTTTATTGCTCTTTTTGAAGCTAGGAATATTTTCAGGTACACTGTAGTTGTCTCAAGATTTGTTTTCTTGCTGATTTCTTCTTAGTGTTATATCTTGAACGAACTAAAAGTGGTTTGTTTTCCATCATTCTATTACTGTTTTTATCATTGCATCTCTGTAGAAGCTAGATTTGTTGTTTGAATTTTAAACAGGCGAATGCTTATGCACATACTTTGCTGCAGTTGAGAAGGTATCCAATGGTTCTGATAAGGCACTAGTGGGCGATGCATCGGAAAGGTTTAGTGCACGTGAGGCAGAGAAGTTTCGCTTCCTTGGACCGTAATTTCTTGTTACATAATCCTGTTTTGTTTTCTTCTTTTCAGAGTCTCTTCTCCTCTATGTTTGTACCATATCACAGTTATGGCAAGAATGCTGAAGCTAGCGGCTGCTGTAACATATCACAGCCTTGAAAATGATTTTAGCTTATCTATTTATTAATTTTAGCCTCTTAAAATTTGTGTGGCCTCATGAAATCATTGCACATGAACATTAAGAGCTAAGTCTTTTTGTGCTTCTACCGTCTTGCATGAGAATTAAGAGATACCAAGCTATTGCATTACTTTTATGTGGATAATTTATGCAATTCATTTAATGCTGAATTGCCTTGGTCTTGAATCAGAGATCGTCGTGATGCAAAAAGAAGACATCCTGGGGACGCAAATTATGATTCAAGGACTCTATACTTGCCTCCCGATTTCTTAAAGAGTCTATCAGGTGGCCAGGTAGTACCACTGAAATATAAGTAGTTTGACTTTTCTGATGTATTTTTCATCTTGAATCCACTGACAAACAACCTGTTTACACGCAGAGACAATGGTGGGAGTTTAAGTCAAAGCATATGGACAAGGTTGTCTTTTTTAAGGTATACTTGTGGTTTACACTATTTAGAGAAAGATCAACCTCTCATCTAAATTGTCACTGCCATTAGCCTTTCAAATGATTAACTTTCATTTTTTGTTTGAGCAGATGGGCAAATTTTATGAACTTTTTGAAATGGATGCACATATAGGAGCTAAAGAACTTGACTTGCAATACATGAAGGTTTGTCTTAGTTTGAAGACACTCTCAATTCTAATATCCTTTCAGTGACATTTTTCTCAAATTGTCAGAAGAAAGAAAAAACATATCAGCTAGAAGCATTCACAGATTAACTCTGATATATAGTGTGGAGATTTATTTAATTATATTTATGTTGTTTTTTATTTTGTCTAAAGTAGTATCAATATCTGCTTCAATGTTTAGGGAGAACAACCTCATTGTGGGTTTCCAGAGAGGAACTTCTCAATGAATGTGGAGAAATTGGCTAGAAAGGTTCGGCTTTTTTCTCTTTTCTGCACTTGATGCTTTAATATCTCTTTTAAGAACACTTTTTGTATCCTATCAGAATTTATCTGAGCTGTCTTGACGAAGCAGGGATATCGAGTTCTTGTGGTGGAGCAAACAGAAACACCTGAGCAGATGGAGCTTCGTCGGAAAGAGAAAGGTTCTAAGGATAAGGTCTGTGATTTTGTTTATGTTAGGATCCTAGTTTTGATCCTTATTCATCAAGTTATAAGTTCTCAGAATTGGCTACGAATAGGCATAAATTTACTTAATTGTGTTACAGCATCTCTGCTATCTATTGCATTAGTTAAAGATCATCATGTCCCTGGTTAGTGGATATCTAAGCAAATCTAGAAATTGCTACATGGCATGAGGTGGAATTTATCTTGATTGGAATTCCGACTCTCAAGGTCTGTAATTTTAATGTCAGAATCATATTTTGAATCTAGTTTCTCGTGCTAGTGTTATGGTGCCTGCTAGTTAATTAGGATTTCTTGTTTTATGCATGATGCTGTACTAATCTTTCAATGAATAAATCATGCTTGCATTTATCTAAGATTCTACTTGTGAATTTTTATGTTTTTAGGCAATAATTTCCTACTCCGCCATTCTGTCTTGAGATTTTTCATAGTGAACTCGGCTGATAAAGAAGGTCAAAAGAAAAAAAATGTTGTTCACATTTTTCCCACTGTTTATAGGTTGTGAAACGAGAAATATGTGCAGTAGTCACGAAAGGAACCTTAACTGAGGGAGAGTTGCTATCAGCAAACCCTGATGCTTCGTACCTAATGTCAGTTACTGAAAGCTGCCAGACTCTTGGAAGCCAAAATGCAGAGCATGTTTTTGGTGTTTGCGTGGTTGATGTTGCTACAAGCAGGATAATTCTTGGACAGGTTAGAGTTTAGAATCTTCAATATCATGCCTCTCATTATTTTACTTTCCCTTTTTTCCAAATGTAAATGCTATGTTACAGTTCTATGTTTGACCACATTTGATTCTCCCTTTACCAGGTTGCGGATGATTTTGATTGCAGTGCACTGTGTTGTCTTTTATCTGAGCTAAGGCCTGTAGAAATTATTAAACCTGCTAATATGCTTAGTCCTGAAGCTGAAAGAGCAATATTGAGAAATACAAGAAATCCCTTGGTGAACGAGTTGGTCCCTCTTTCAGAATTTTGGGATGCAGAGAAAACCGTTGAGGAAATTAAAACTGTCTATAAGTGTATCAGTGATCAATCAGCTTCTGCATTGTCAAGTAGAGCAGATTCACATGCTGTTAATTCTCTTACCGAGAAAGATGAGTTGAGCTGCCTTCCAGATGTTTTGTCGGAGCTAGTGAACTCTGGTGAGAATGGGAGCTTAGCTCTTTCAGCACTTGGAGGCGCCCTGTATTATCTAAAGCAGGCTTTTCTGGATGAGACATTGCTTAGATTTGCAAACTATGAATTTCTTCCATGCTCTGGTTTTGGTGATATTGCCAGGAAACCATACATGGTTCTTGATGCTGCTGCATTGGAGAACCTTGAGATTTTTGAGAACAGTAGAAATGGTGACGCTGCTGGGTATGCTTGTCATATGCTAATTAATGTCAATTTGTTGCACACGATGGTTGTCCTGTTCTTATTCTGACCAGCTTTATTTTCCTTTAAAGGACGCTGTATACACAGCTGAATCATTGTGTGACAGCATTTGGGAAGAGGTTGCTTAAGACATGGCTAGCTAGACCTTTATATAATTCAGGATTAATTAAGGAACGCCAGGATGCTGTTGCTGGTTTAAGGGTGAGTTTCTTAAAACATGCACTGAACTAAATAGATGCAATTGGGCACCATTATTTATGGTCTTAGGCTGGATTGAGGCAAACATCTCTCACTTTTGGTGGAATTTACTGCTACAAATATATTTCAATATCTTTCTTGCTTTCTAGGGAGTAACCCTACCTTTTGCACTTGAATTTCGGAAAGCCTTGTCTAGGCTTGCAGACATGGAGCGGTTGCTTGTGCGCATCTATGCTAGCAGGTAAAGCTAAAATGGATATTCACATGCGCTAGTACAAATTTGTCTAATGTTATATGCAAATTACTGATGATTTTATAAGTCAAGTTATTTTTTTCATTCATTAATTGAACACAGTAAAGCTAATGGAAGAAACGCAAATAAAGTAGTTCTATATGAGGATGCAGCAAAGAAGCAGCTTCAAGAGTTCACATCAGCGCTGCGTGGTTGTGAATTAATGGCTGAAGCATGTTCTTCACTTGGTGTTATTTTGGACAATACCGATTCAAGACAGCTACATCATATGTTAACTCCTGGTATGATTTGCATGTCCTTTAACTGTTTTGTAATTTATTTGTTGGCATCTGAATTTTATGTGTGTGCAGGTAAAGGTCTTCCTGATATCCTTTCAATTCTTAAGCATTTCAAGGATGCCTTTGATTGGGTGGAAGCCAATAATTCTGGACGTATAATACCTCATGAAGGAGGTGATGTGGAGTATGACAATGCCTGTAAAAAAGTTAAGGAGATAGAATCTAGTTTGACAAAACACCTCAAGGAACAGAGAAAATTACTTGGAGACACATCAGTAAGAACTTGTCTTTTAGTGATCAATCTTGTAGTTCATATTTCCTAAATATTTCCTATTTCTTGAATGTTAACAAATTTCTGTCATCTAATGCTGTGTTACAGATCACTTATGTCACAGTTGGAAAAGACACATATTTGTTGGAGCTACCAGAAAGTTTGCGTGGAATTGTTCCTCAGGATTATGAGTTACGTTCCTCCAAAAAAGTGAGTATCTGTGGTTCTGCTTTTTGAGGATAGTTTGGACCAATTAAGATATAAGCATAATACATTCATTATCTTTTTTGTAAGCTGGTGAGTTCTGTTAGCTCCCTGAATTGTACTTATAGTGTGAATTCATTGCATTAATGCACCTTATGAATACATTCATCCAAAAAAAGTTAGTACAGAGCTTGAAAAGATCATTTGCTATGTGGTTTTCATTGTGTGATGCATCAGGATTGGAGCAAGGATAATTCAGAATTAAAGGAGTCATTTCTTGTGATATAATTTTCTGTCAAATATTCTTGGTATTGGCCTATTTGATTGAATGTTCATTAGACAGGAAAGATTGTTATAAAGATCATATCTGTCCTCTTGACTTATGACTAGGTCAATATTACTAGCTTTAAAAACTGCCTCTTCCAGCATTATCTCATAACTATTTCCTATTATACTTTCCCCCTACTACGCACAGGGCTTCTTCAGGTACTGGACTCCAAGTATTAAGAAGTTGTTGGGAGAGCTTTCACAAGCTGAATCTGAAAAGGAGTCAGCATTGAAGAGCATATTGCTGAGGTTAATTGGACAATTTTGTGAACATCATAATAAGTGGAGACAGTTAGTTTCTACAACTGCAGGTTAAGACCTTTCTAGCATATGGGGTGGGAACTTTTGTATACCTGCATTGTGATTCCTGCAATCCTATAGCTATTCCTTAAGAATGCATCTACTGTTTAAATTTAGATAACTTGTTTTCTTCTTTAAGGTGACTCTCTCACCTTCTTTGACCCAAAAGAAGTTCTTGGTAAAATGACAGTATTGTGATATTTGACACCAAGTGTTTTTTTTATTTTTTTCCTCTCCACGTTTCAATTGTTGGGTCTTATTCTCTAAACTGCACCCCACCCAACACATGCCTGTGTATGGACCATAGTTTCATGAATAATTCTTTTGGACTACATCATAATTTCTAGAATTATATTTCTTTAGGTATTAATTTTTGAAATAACTCAATATACCATTTCTCTGGCTCATTTGTTGAAAATAGGAAAAACATTTTTTTTCCGTTTTATATGATGCAGATTTCTCTTTGATTTGCATGACTGAAATGGACCATGTTTTGCAGAACTGGATGTTTTAATCAGTTTAGCTATCACAAGTGACTTTTATGAAGGCCCAACATGCCGTCCAGTTATCTTAAACTCATCATCTTCAAATGAAGTGCCACACTTTTCTGCAAAAAGTTTAGGACATCCTGTTCTCAGAAGTGATTCTTTAGGCAAGGGTGCATTTGTCCCCAATGACATTACCATTGGTGGTTCTGGTAATGCCAGTTTTATACTTCTCACTGGTCCTAACATGGGAGGAAAGTCAACCCTTCTTCGCCAAGTATGCTTAGCTGTGATATTGGCTCAGGTAAGGTCTTTTAATCTTGTAATATTTTGAGTTTGGTGGTGTTTTATTGATTAGTTTGATTCTTCCCTAGGTAGGAGCAGATGTCCCTGCAGAAAGCTTTGAGCTGTCACCTGTTGACCGAATCTTTGTTCGGATGGGTGCCAAAGATCATATTATGGCAGGCCAGAGCACATTTTTAACAGAGCTTTCAGAAACTGCATTGATGCTGGTAAGATTCACTGTGGTTCAAACAAATTTATTAAGTAATATTTCTTTGTGGCTTGTAGATATAAATTTGGTTGAACAGGTACCTGAAAAGTTATTGTTGAGCAACATGTAGAAGTTATCTATTAATCACTTGTTGGCAACTTATAGATTACAATTGTTATAAAACAATGGAAACTGGTGAACTATTCTTGTTTTTCTTGTATTTTTTCCTTTAGCTTATTAGATGGTTTGGTTAATCTGGACACAACTTGCTGGTTTTCCTTTTATTTTGATCTAGTCATCCAAACATCAATATAGATTTTACCCCCTTGTCTCCAATTTCTCGTTTACACTGGGAAATCTGTCTTTCAGTTCCCAAATCCACTGAGTTGTCAAGCAAGTACATTTTGGTTGGGGATGTGTAATGATTTGATCTAAGCATTTAACTCTATAAACTTATTTATCATGGTTAATACAGTCATCTGCAACTTGTAATTCACTGGTGGTGCTAGACGAACTTGGACGTGGGACATCAACTTCAGATGGACAAGCCATTGCGTAAGTTCAGTCATGGATGATATTTTTTAACGCCTTCTCCTGAAAACCCTTTCAGCATATATTATTTTTTGTCTCACCGTTATTGCATATTCTTTGAATTTTTCAGTTTACAGTCCTGTTTATCTCAGTTTTCTATTTTCTGAATATCAATTCTTGGCAGGGAATCTGTTCTTGAACATTTTGTTGATAAGGTGAAATGCCGTGGAATGTTTTCAACTCACTATCATCGGTTAGCTGTGGACTATAAGAAAGATACCAGGGTATGCTTTTGTTTTCTTACAGTTTCTACTTTTTTCCTTTTTTTTTTTTTTTTTTTACTGAAGTTTTTACCTCTTGTCCTGCCACAGAGAGGGGGAGAGAGTATGTGAAAGAGAGAGAGAGTATATATGTTTACAGTAGAACTATTGGTTGACATAGCAGGGATGCTCACTGATAAATAAGATTTTTGACATGTGGGTATGCAGCGGGATTGAGACTGCATTAGGTTCTTTACATTGCAAAATAAAAATGAATATCTAGCCTTATATGTGACTATTGGTTGGCATAGGCGGGATGCTTTCTGATAAATGAGATTTTAGGTACTTGGGTATGCAGTGGAATTGAAATTGCATTAGGTTCTTCACATCTTAAAATAAAAATGAATATCTAACCTTTCCTTAATAACAGATTAAGTAGGAACTTCTGACCATTTTATGTCATTTTTATCTTTGGTGTTCTGTACAGGTCTTACTCTGCCATATGGCCTGCCAAGTCGGAAAACAAATAGGAGGTGTAGAAGAAGTTACATTTCTTTATAGGTTGACCCCTGGTTCATGTCCTAAAAGCTACGGTGTCAATGTTGCACGACTAGCTGGTAAGTTTCGTTGCTTTTTTTTGTCAACTTAAAGTCCCTCGAGAACAAGAGCCCTTTGTGATAATTGCAATTTACTGTCTTTTGAAGTGATTAGTCTTGACATCAAGAATTTCATTGTTTGATTTGGTTTAACCTCTATTTTAAGAAAACCGGAAATTCAACAGGAATTTTGAGTATATATTTCAAAAGCAGATAAGTATACTTTTGTTGATCATTGCAAGAAATTAGAACGTGCTTACTTTTTCTAGCCACCAATCTGATTGCCTGTTCTGCTAAGGTTAATTTTAGCATAATTTCCCCACCCTAACAATAATTATTTCAGGACTCCCTGACTCTGTGCTTCAAAAGGCTTCTGCAAAGTCCAAAGAGTTTGAGGCTCTATATGGTAAACGCAATAAGGAATCCAAGGATGAACTGTCCATTCACTATTGTGCTGATAAGATGATGGTCTTCATCCAAGATTTTATCAATGGCACCACAACATTAAGTCACCGGTCTGAGGAGAATGGTGTTAGTTACCTAAATGAACTTCAGCACAGAGCAAGATTACTTACGCAGCAAAACTAAAGGTTCCTGCTGTTTAAAAGACTATATATGTCAAATCTGCTTGTAGATCTATATCATTATGGTGGTACAGAATTTTTCTGCCGACTCTTGGATTGGTAATTTTGACAGTGGACCATTGGTTTCGACATCAAGAGTGAAAACTGGACCTTGTTTCAATTTTCATGGAGCATTTAAGTAAAATTAGATACAACAATGTATAAGGTGGCTCACTATTTGGTAATTTAGGTTGGGCAGCTGTAGGAATTGTAGTTAGATTTGTTAGGAATTGTAGTTAGATTTGTTAGGAATTGTTGAGGCCTTTATTTTTCTGTGATTGGAAGAAATGATTGTGCTTCCAGTGTGTACATGGTTGTGATGTGGATTTCGGTGATTCAATTCTCTTAACAAAAGGACAAGGTTGTTGGTCTTGCCCATATATGTAAAGACGTCGGACGATAATTCAAATGACTTGTTTTTGAAGTAAAATCACGTTCTATTTACCTGCGTTTGTATGATTTTGATTTAGGGAATTTATTACTTGTTTATTTTTTTATGGGAGAGAAATAAAAAGGATTTGTGTAAATTTTCTTTTGGTTTTCATCTGTGCCCATAAAACGTGGGAATTTAGAAAAGTCGAGCATCACTACAAATGAAACTTCCTAGAAGTGTGGTTAAACTGTACGATGCTGATGTTGATGCATCTGTTCCTCTTCATCATCTTCTTCTTCATCATCAGAAATTGAGAATTCATCATCCGAATCCTGAAATCAAAGAGAAAGAAAATTAGAGCCTTCTAATTGCAACATTTCTCCTATTTCTAATGGTCGGTAATCAGATAATGAAAACTAACATGATATTGCCTCCGAATGCTGTTTTGAATCGCTGTGATTGTCCTAATCAATATGTACATGGGGAGTATAATTCCACTAGCTCTTAGAAAAAGTATCTGCAAACCAAACAAAAGAAGCAAGTAAAATATGTATTTCGTACCACAGAAATCGCTATTCATTTGAGAACAAGCAAAATCAAAATATTTACAGTGGCAAGTGCAAATGGGTAATCTTCGGTTTTTCCAGCTAGCACCGCAAAGATATGTTTGAGGAGCAAAAGAACTGTAAACTGCAATACAAAGACAAATTAAATGGGTTTCAAAACTTGGATGCGGGTTGTGGCCCACATAATTGCTGTTAAGCAACCATGTTAATGGTCAAAAGAAGTAATAATTACGCACAACACACTTAAATTAAAGCCGATCCTAGTGGATCACATTCACACCCACCTGCGTGGTTGCCACAGAACTAAGAAATCAAATGGTCAACTTTGCTTAGTAGTAATGGCAGCCATGCCATTTAAACCAAACACGTTGCTTAATTACTCATATAATAATTAAAGCTAAAGCACCGTTAATATCTTCCATAAACAACATCAAAATTGAACTTACTGTTAAAGCCAACGACCGGCAGCAAGCGGCGCTTCTATCCGCTACAGAGTTGCATTCAGCGTACTGAGATTCTGCTGTTAAACTTAATCCTTCAGCTAAACCCACTAATCTTGGGCTTTCTTCTTCCTCATGCTCTCTTCTTGGAATTTGCAAGCTATCTCTGTTGAATTAACAAATCATCAAGATAAGGTAAATGCGAATGCAATACAAATATAAAAACAATTCTAATTTAATTACCTAATGGTAACTGCTGCCTCAATCAGCTGAGACTTTTTTGAAGGTGCCGTATATCCAGGTCCATATTCCTGTAAAAATGGAATTTTAATTCATGCCCATTAACACTTCCAATTCCTTCAAATTTTGAACAGTCCACAAGATTATATATTTACAGAATTTTGACACGTGGGTGTCACACTTCATTGACGTAAACTTTTGGGAACTAAGATCAAATCAAGTCTCCTTCATAAACTTGTTTTACATGAAACTAATTTAAAACTGAAGGCCCAGAACTTCGGTTTTGTAATAGTGAAGAAACCAATAAAAACATTTCAACGTTATTTCCCAGAAAGAGAAGAGATGCTTCACCAAAAAGAAAAGTTGAACCAAACGACAAGTTTTGAGATGCTTGAACTCAAAACAGAACAACAAAACGTTAAAAAGATACTTGAAAAATTTCATAATAAAAAACGACAATTTCGCATCCCATCATATCCAAAAGCATATGAAAAGATGTAGACAAAATAATTTTTTAAATACCAATATATTTTGAACAAAACAGCTACGAGTAAAACCATTTATATTGATATGGCAACCAGTTCATCCAATGAATTAAATTCAAACCTGGAGACAAATTTCACAAGTTGTGTTTCCCTTCTCGTTACACCACCTCTGTATGCAATCTCTGTGGGCAAACTGGGAGCAAAACAGAATAAATATTCTAGATAAAGCTGTATTGAATATAAACTCAATAACTGAATTAAAGCTAACCCATTAGCAGAAAAACCATAGTTTTTGGGTTTCTTGTTACCTTGACAGTGCCAGAGCAAGCACAAGGAGCTTCCAGGCTTTTACAGCTTTCAAATTCTTCTTCATGGCAAATTCTACAGTGCGATATTGCATAATTTAATTGCAAGTCCTCCACAAACAATACAACGTCTCCCATCCTCTCTTCTCTCTCTCTCTTTCTGTTCCTTCAAAAAGCTCTCTTTTTATTTTTCAAAACTTGCTGTCTCTATTTCTTTCCTCTAACTCTAATGACTAGACTTTAAATATAAGAAACGCGACATAAAATTCCGAAACTACCCCTATCAAAGTATTTAAATAAAATGAAATTTAAAAATTCATTTTTTTCCTTATTATTTTCTTTTTGAGTTATTTTATCTGGGGACGGACAAGGATGATTGAGATTGAGCTGTATCCAAAAAAATACGCGGCTTTAGAAGCCGGAAACTCGAGTGTTTTGACGTGCTTATTATATGAACACAAAGACTTGTTGATGGAAATTTCAAAGTCAAAACAAGCTTCCAAAATCCAAATTCACTATTTATTGCACAACTAGAGAAGACGAACCTTCTTATCGTATTGTAATTCATAATATGAGCTGTATGCAATTGTTTTAATTGTTTTTCTTGTTTAAGATTCCGGAGTTTATTGTAGCTTGTACTTGGTTTTCTTAGTTAATGATTTGATTTTCAATGAATAAACCTATCAGTAAATAGTGATATTTATTATTGAAGATGAGTTTTTGGATCAATGTCATCTTTATTTTTATTATTGATATTTGGTTAATACTTATAATTTAATCTTATATATATTTTTTTTGTAATTTTAACTTATTAGTTCTTAATTGTTTAGTTTATAATTGATTTCGTTTGTCCAATTGAGAACTATCATGTCTTGTTTTTTAATGAAAGTTTGTAAGATTGATTTGTTAATCAATTTTTATTGTTAATATTTTTCATAGTTATGACCAATGCAATTACATTTTCAATTATGGAGAGTCATTCTAATACAAGTCTAATTAAGGGTAAACATTTTAATAAGACATTTTTAATATCCTTTTAAATTGAATATTAACCAAGTTTATTACCTAATTACTATAATGATACCTTAGGCTTACTGATGACTTTTGCTAACCGAAGCTATATAATGAAATTTTATTATACTCTCACCAGCACAACTAACTTAGGTAAGCATTACTTATAATAACCAATAATGTTGACAAAGATAATTTAGATTTCCAGATTTTCTGGGACTCTAATTAACAAACATTAATTTCATCTCTACGCATCTTCGGAAACATAATATTGTGTTGGATTTCTTTGCCCAACAATTTCTCTCTAGCAAGTACGTGATATTTTAAAAAAGAAAAAACAATTACCTATTTATTTATTATTAATGTAAATAGGTAAAGACATATGGGCAAAATAGTAATATAATGTTCGTACAAAACCAGTTACAAAATTATTGATTAAAATATGAATTTAAAATTATAAAATAAGATACTTTATTCCTGTCCCTCTGTTCTCAATTCAAAATTCTCTTTCAGAAGTTTGAATATGAAGCCTCTGATCACCAATCAACAGTCCTTGGGCGTTTGGCTACCAGAAATTTAAAATAATGGGCCCCCCTGACAATTAAAAATAATATAAACAAAAAACGCGCTCTGATACATGGGGTCCCTTTTTTGACGCTCGATGATGTGCTTTCAAATTTTTAATTAAATATAATTAAATTTTTATTTGGATATTTAGGATGCTGACATCTGTGCTTATCTCCAATTTGATCTTATCGCCGTCTCATTAAAATGGCTTATTATTTTGCCCTTATCCCTGATCATATTCACCAAAAAAATGTTTGACACATTATTATAAAAATATTAGTCTATTTTTTTAATTATTTTTAGACCTCACAAAATTATTAATTTTATTAAATACCCCTTAAAAAAAAAGTTTAAAAAGTAACAAAAACACTTCCGCTATCCATACTTACCAGATTCTGACAACCACCATCGGTGGTAGCCAGAATCTACCACAACGGTGAATTATCGACCGAAACTAGCCAATAATTTACCGATCTAACCTTTTTCAGTCAGATCTGGCCATTGTTGACAGTCAAAGATGGTCTTCTTTGGCCTTTTTCGGCAGTCAATGACCACATATGGCCGTAGATCTAGCCTTTTTCGGCTAGATCCATGGTGGATCTGATCGAAAAAGGTCATAACGACGTCATACCGGCCAGATCCAGCCAGTATGTGTCGTTATACAATTTTCCGGCTAGATTCCGATAGTAGTGGTCGAAATCTGACAATACAGGTGGTGGAGGTTTTTTTGTCATTTTACATATTTTTATATATTGCAGTATTCATTAAATTAGTAAACTTATGATATTTTTTTATAATTTTTTTAATTTTACCTCATAATACTTCCATATTCAATTATCTAATACTATCCCCAAAATCTTATCCAAAATAATAAACCAAATGCGCCCCATAACTTTCTTATTAAATGTACAGTGACAATCTATCACTATGAAACAAACAATTGGCATGATAATTCAGGATACTACATCTCATATATTTTTGAACTTTTAAGCAAGTGGGCCGCAACGCACTGATTCTGCGCGTGAAGACACCAACTAACATGATCAATTGATCATATTAATTTTCAGCCGTTGGGTTAATGGACTCCACGTTTTAGATAAGAGTTGAGATGTATATAGATGATAACGAGATTTGATTAGTGCTAATCATCTTATAGGGTAGTAGGCCAGGCCACCAAGCCAATGATATATCACCTTTACGAGCTTCTAAATGAATCTAAGGTTATCTTATTACAATTTTTTTTTTTTTTTTAATTAAAGGTATCTGAACCAGTTTGTAACACGTCTCAACTAATTTTTTGGGATCTTGAAGTTAACGATTGAGTAATCCTCCTATGGTCACCTTTATTAACAATCTAAGAGAACCAAACTTAAGATATCTTAAGTAATATATCTAAGAATCCCAGTTGACTGCCTGTCTTGGGTTGATTATCTTATTACAATTTTAAAACCTGAATAATTTGGATAAGTGAGGGTTAAAAAAGAAAATTAAGGTTTGGAAAGATACATCTCTAAAAAGATGGTGGAACTAATTAAATATCTTAAGGAAACGAGTGTACATCAAAAAATGATTAGAGTGAATAACTGTAAATTATTAGATATATCGGTAAAAAGTGTGTGAGAAAGGGACGGATAAACAAAGTATAAAATGATAATTGTAGGAATGATAGGCGATTGATGAGAAGTGGATGGTAGTTTGTAGTTGTAGAGTTGGGACAAGTCTTAGCTTCAAAGTTGGTCTATACAATACAAGGCTCTACTAACCTTAAACAACGGTTACCGGTATATGGACGTATGGTCTGTTGAAATTTAATACAAATTAGCAGCAGCAAAACAGTGGAAGAACAGTAACAAAACAGCAGTGAAACAATAGGAAAATAGCAGGAGAACAGCATAAAAAATTGCAGCAAGACAGCAGCAAAACAGCAACGGTACAGCAGCAAAACAGCAACGAAACAGCAGTGAAATAGCAACGATACAGCAGCACCAAGGTGTGCAAAAGCACTATCCTTTAGGGGTGGAAAAAAAAAACCGAAAACCGGACCGAACCGAAAAACTGGACCAAAACCGGTCCGAAAATTCAGTTTTTTTCCGGTTTCGGTTTGCCATATTTTGTAAACCGAATATTTGGTTTGGTTTCGGTTTTTTGAAATAACAAAAACGGTTAACCGAACCGTATCTTTAAACCGGTTTAATTAACAAAAAAATAATTTTATATTTTTCAATTTTTAAAAAATTTATCCCTAGGTCTTCACTAATGCACATTTTCCAAAATTCAATTTAAAAAAAAAAATTATATTTTGCGCATTTTTAAAAAATTTATCCCTAGGCCTTCACTAATGTAATTTTAAATTATTAATACTTGATATACATTAAAATTATATGAATTCAAATTATTCAATTACAATAAATATAACTTTAATTCAAGTTAAAAAAAAACCTGGAAAAAAAAATGGGCCAAAGTGGAGGGTTTGACCAAATTGGGCCGAACAAATGCAGCCCATCATAATTAACCGGTTAATTGAACTGAATTTTTGGTTCGGTTTTAAACTAGTTTATAACCGAAACCGGACAGGTTTTGGTTCAATTTTTTTTTTAAACCGAAAACCGGTTCGGTTCAAGATACTAGTTAACCAGTTTTTTCCACCCTTATCGTCCTTAAGATTAGAATTCTGCTCCTTCTAGAAGAATCTGACCTCCTGGATACAATGACAAACTTCTAGTTAAAGTACACTCTTTAACATAAGCTTAGAACAGTATGAGGCAACGTAGCAGTGGTGAAGGAAAGCTAATAGAATAAAGATGCAGAAGCGAAAGTGGATTCTATTGAGTGGAAAGATTGTACATCAAAAGAGAATAAACACCCCTTTTTATACTTGACAATCCATTCATAACATCCCAACTTTTAATTCTGTAACAACCATTATAATTGCCACCATTACACTCCAAATTAATATAAGAAACTGTCATGCTTAGAATTGCAGTAACCGAAGCAATTTGTTTTCAAATAAAACAAAAAACTGCAGTTACTTTTAATTCCATAACAGTCCAAACAATTGGTATTTTGAAATACCAATAATAGCTCAGCTTTTATAACAATCCCCCACATATTTCAAAATAACCAATCACCACTAATTATATAATTTAATGTTTATGAGTTGGTGTCTTTTGAACTATGAACCAATCATTGGATAACTAAACATGAGTTACAGAAATTTGATGAAACTAAGTTTCTATGAACCAAAAATATCTTTATGTAATTCAGAGGAACACTAAATTCTCTGCATTGTATACTGTTCTGCGGTTTGGCACTTTATGGCCTTGTGCTAGCCTGGATTTCATGAGTGCTCTAGAGATGTCTGCCTAAGCTCTCATAGGAATCGACCTAATTCCACACTCGCATAGGTGAAACTCCATAAGGTGTGAATTGCAGTTTTTCACACCACTATTTATGTTGGCTATGGATTTCATTAAGAGTAATTTTACTCAACCTTATTCTAAGCAATCAGTATTATCTCGCCATAGGGAGGACTCTTTATAGATAAAATTCGATAATACTTATCAAGACAACAAGTGACTTGTTATGACCCTTATGAACCTACTTCATGGGATCTCCAATCACATAGGTAGGGTTACCATCACTCTTGCCTTAT